TACGCGCACACATTCACGGCCATGGTTTCAAATGTGACTGAGAAGTACTTGACGTAACTGTGACAAATTACGCGCACACATTTACGGCCATGTTTTCAAATGTAACTGAAAAGTACTTGACGTAACTGTGACAAATTACGCGCACACATTCCCGGCCATGGTTTCAAATATGACTGAGAAGTACTTGACGTAACTGTGGCAAATTACGTGCACACATTCACGGCCATGGTTCTAAATGTGACTGAGAAGTACTTGACGTAACTGTGACTAATGTCACATTCACAGTTAAAACATGTAATATTCGCCCCGAAAATTCCCAAAAAACATTATAACGAGATTTACTATCACACAACTCAATAATTTAAAACTAATTTCGCACGCACAAGCACGACCATGATTCAAAAAATAAAGATGATATATTACGTGAAGCTTGTCAACAAAAACTACTATCAAAACAAACGTAACCTCTTCATATGCTTACATCAAATCACAACCACACAACCCAAATCATGTTACATTTTTTGTTTCTCTCCATGCCACAAAATACAAACACTATCACTCGAATATTTGACAAATTCACAAACATGCAAGCAGATCAAAATACGACGTGGCACCAGCCACGTCCGTCAACTTACTTGTATATCTGAGTGAAAACAACTAAACGACATCGTACCACAACGTGGCACTGTACACACAGTCCAACTTACGTGTGCATCCACTCATATCCAACACTAATTTCATATTGGGCCACAATCACATTCATTAATTGTACAACACACAACACCAAGATATGGTACCATTCACATTCAACAACTGGTTTAAAAAAGTTAAGGCGCAAACCAAACGACATCGTATCACAACGAGAAACCACCAAAATAGTCTACCAAACCCAATACTATGCTCAGATCGAAAAAAAAAAACAAATAAAATCAATTAATGAATGTGGCTGTGGCCCCTAAAATAGTCTAGCAAACCCAATACAACAACGAATCAAGCATAAATCACCCACACTGGTCAACCCGCAGAACCTTCATCGTACAACCCCAACATACATACTATTTCCAATTCGGAAACTGTAAAATCAATTATTCATCACAATTCTCACAAAACATACAAATAACAAAGTAGATTACGACTGAAGGTCACATAAACCCTAGTTTTGGGTTGTTAATAAAAATCAAATAAATTAACATTGCGAAACAGGGGCAAATCCATACTTACGTTTCGGAGTCATCATTCTTCCTTCTTACAGTAAACGGTAACCATTATCACCTTCCCCTCGAACGTCTCCGTCGAATCGCGCCCCTTCTCCTGTTCGTGGTGAGTTTCGAAATGTTAACAACTAAATCAGCCGTTTACATTAGCGTAGAGGCACAAAACATATCTACTTCTTTTTAACCCCTACAATTTTGCCAAACTGATCCTCTGATTTCCACAAAGAACGTGTTTTTTGAATTTCAAAATTAATGTATATGGATATGATATTAACATCTACTATTAAGGGTAAATGTGTCAAGCAACTTCTCATAGGACTTATGAGAATATAAGTTTTTACTTAGGACTTAACATAGCATAAGTGTCCGAAATAGGACTTATAAATAAGTCTCCCAAATATAAATGACATGAAAAACATAAATAAATTATCTTTGATTTGAGTTTTGGATCATTTACAATGTAGCTATTGATGGCTATTTATAGAAGAAAAAATACAACAATAACTACTTAGTAACTATCCATTTCTCACATCTTCATCCTTGTCTTACCATGTGTCTTTTTACTCATCGACTTTGTCCTTCATATTCTCTGTTATCTCCATAACTTCTTTTAACTTCCAAATGAATAAGACGATATCACTTGTCCTGAAAATAATAATAAGAATAAGAATAAGAACAATATTTTATGGTGTCAACATTACTCCCCGTGGCCCTTAAAAATGATATTTACTTGAATTTTTTAAGGGTCGAACCAAGCACACATACTGTCATTTTTGTGCCTTAAAAAAAAAACAACAACAATTGACCATCAATTTGAAAAGATAAGTCATTCTTAACCACTGATTTAAATGCATAGGCTTTTCCCAGCCAAGTGCAATATTTTAAATGGCTACGTTGTTCTTTAGTGCATTAAACTCATCAAAACAATGCTTAAAGATGATTGTTTTATTAGCCATTTCACCAAAAATAAATTTTGATGTGAACCACAAATCCAAAAAGGATTTTGAACACTAAGAACCATAGTACAAAATGACCTTAAAAATTTAAACAACTTGACATTTTGAATAATTTCAAAAAATTCAGATTTATGAACATTAAATTGTTCATCATTCTTAGCCATGTTTTGCTTGAGAATATGTTCTTCGACCAAATACTTTCATCATTCATTGACAAATGGGGTTGTTTTTCTATTTTATCCATTAATGGATTATGAAAATCCTCCATGTGAGTTTCATCATGTCTCGGTCTAATGGGTTGTTCCATTTTAGCCATTGATGGCTTATGAAAATCTTTTATAGATATTTTATGTCCATGGTTTAACTCTCTAAGAATGGGTTTTTCAACCCCCCGAGTCTTATATGGAACATTATTTTTAACGATGCTTGGCTCAACAACATGCTTTTTAGCCATGTTATTTTCATAAATTGGCTCTTTAAAAATGAGTTTTTTGACCTCTCGAGCTATTGATGAAATCAACTCATTACTTTTACTATTTTCAACCATGGAAAAATTCTAAAAAAAATCCACCAATTCCGGCCATTAAAGCCTCGGTTAAAGATTTGGTAGTGAGAATTGACAACTCATCATTCCATTAGCAAATTTCTATATCAAGTTGATGAATTTCTCCAATTAATGGTCTCTTTTTTCTTCCATCAAATAATATTGGAAGGGATGGAAATTTATTTCATCAAGAAAATGGATCTCTTCTTGAAGATCCAAAGTTTTTTGTTTATGCCAATAAATTTCATTTAAGCTATTGGAAATGGACAAATCCAATTTATTTTTTATTTCTTACACTTGATGTCCCACCGGGCGTGTCAAAAATTGTTGACTTATTTTTGCTACAAAGGAAAATATCATAAATGTAAGCGTACTAGTAAGGATTGAAAAATCCTTATAGATTAAATTCAAGTCCATTATCAAGTGATTGCATTGACGGTTCTTTTGCCTCAACGAAGAAGACTTTAAAATTGTCAAGTGTAGAAAAAATAAAAATTAAAAGAAGAAAGAGGGAAATAGAGAAAGATGATTGAGTGAACAATCAAAGTAACAATTACTTACCTCTACTCCTATACTTTGAAAATGAAATGCCTAAAATACTTCAAAAAGAAAGTGCTGAAAATAAATCATTCGAAAAGAAAGTGCGCAAAATAAAATGCAAGAAATATGAATGACAAGGAAAACATAAATCAATTGTCTTTGATTTGAGTTTTGAATCCTTTACAATGTAGCCATTGATGGGCTATTTATAGAAGAAAACATACAGCAATAACTACTTAGTAACTATCCATTTCTCTCATCTTCATCTTTGTCTTGCCATGTGTCCTTTCACTCATCCACTTTGTCTTTCATATTCTCTATTATCTCCATAATTTTTTTTAACTTTCAAATGAATAAGAAGATGTCATTTGTCCTGAAAATAATAACAATAATATACTAATAATAAGAAGAAGAAGAAGAATATTTTATGGTGCCAACAGTCATGATTACTGACTTCACCTATTATACAAATTACAAATATGTAAAACCTCTAAAATTATGCCAAATTATCTGTTAGTATACTAGTTAATATATTAATTAGTACATATAGCATTGTTCAAAGAAAAAATAAGCTAAAAAAATAATAAGACAAAATATCACATCTAAACCATAATCATTTCACTTTTTCTCTCAAAAAAGAGAAAAAAAAAAAAAAAAACTCATATGTGACGAGATTTTTTAGTCTCAAGCTAAAAAAAAGTCAAAAAGTCAGCTCACATCCCAAACGAAAGTTAGAAATAAATCTTAGTAAAATCTTCACTAAAAATAATCTTTATGACGATTTTTTGTATAAGTCGTTAAAAATTAACAATTAACAATTAACAATTTTTTTGTCACAATTTTTATAAATTGTCACTAAAATTTATTATTAGTGACTTTTTTGTGATAAATTTTTTAAATTATCACTGAAAATTAAAAATTAGCAACTTTTTGTAACGATTTTTTTAAACTATCGCTAAAACTTACCATTAGTGATTTTTTATGACAAATTTTAAACTGTCTTTGAAAATTAATAATTAATAATATTTTTTACTAATATTAATTATCATACGACCTATTGAATAATAATATTATCTATTAAAATTTACACGTAAATCTCCCAAATTATAATTATTTAAAAATTATTTCCATTAATTTGCATATCGTTAAAACAAATTTCACTCTGAAAATATGGAAAGTTAATAAGTAACACTATCCAATTCGTCACCGTGTAAATTTGACTATTTTGTTTGAAAATAAAACATGAAGTATGATTATGTTTTCTTTTATTACATATTAAAAATGCACAAGTTTCGTTTGGGAAGCCAAGTTTAAGATTTTTTTGATTATTTTAATCACAAAAAATAAAATAAACTGTTTAACCCAATAATACAAAACATCACATCCAACCCATAATCATTATATTCTTCTTCTGACAAAAAAACCAAAAGTCCTTCCTAAACGAGACTTTTTAATCTCAAGCTAAAATAATCAAAATAGCCAAAAAATCAAAAACTAGCCCACTTCCCAAACGAACCCATATTCTACTTGCATAAGTATTTTTTTAGTACACAGATAAATATGATATACATTTATTTTAGTTAGGTCACAAAATATGCAAAGTTATGATACAATATTCTCGAAATTAAGATCAAAATAAATCAAATACTGAGTAAGATGATGACACAATTCTACTTAACGTTGTCATCACTAGACAAAAAATCACAAATAAAATTATCAAGACCCCAGCCATTCCAAACACATTAATTGCTAGTATACCATTTTTTGTTTCTATTTTTCCTTTCCTTTTCCATCTCCCGCCAATTCCAAGATCCAAAAATATGATTAAAAAAGAGAAACTTAAATAACTGCTGAATTACATATTCAATATACAATAACCTCATCTTCTAGTAAAGTACAAATTCCAGAAGGAAAAAAACAAATCATCTCACCATAGAAATGGTATGCTTGAGAAGACATACCAAGCAGAATTTCGCGTATCTACTAGAAAACTCAACATCACCGTGTTCAAAACGTTGGTGACAAAAGAATATAATTGTATGTGTGGCACAACATAAGATTCATGTAACACTGTCAAGTATCATTGGCGAGTTGAATCCGATCAATTGGATTGGAGTTTAAAACAAAGAGCACAACACTGCAGCCTACAAGGGCCAATGCCAGTGAAGCCCATTAAAATGTGATAATAATCATGTTGGCGGTTGCCATGTTCCTGGTCTGAAGGACTGACCAGATCCGGTTGGCTCTGAAGATCTGAAAACAAGGTTGTGAAAACATCGTTTAGCCAGTTCTGATGAGCAGGGCTCTCTTTGCAAGTGAAATTACCACTAGGTCACTTCAAATACAAATATTTCTACATATATTTGGAATTTGAATTCAAGAAAGAGTACATACATATAGTGTTTGTGTGCAACAGTGCAAGTTTCTACAACCCCACAAGAATTAAAACCAGTGGACTTACTCTGGCTGTTGTTGATGTACCTTTTTGTCTCTCTCTGATTCGTCGGTGTTCCTATAGGCATATTAAATGTTATCAGGAATGGGATACATAGGCAGAATCAAGTCCATGTATGCACACACATATGTACAAAGAAACCAAAATATTACAAGTTGAAATCAGATGGTAATTTGCAAAATGTGGGGAAATGACACCAAGTCAAGGTAAAGATACCGGATAAGCTGATGAGTTGAAGATTAATGTTAAAAGAGAACAAATCCTTTACCGTCTTACAAATATGATAAACTGTTTAATTCCTTACATGCTACAATTGCATTAATCGCTCTATAAACGTAATGCATTTCACCTGATTTGTTCATATTAAAAATTTAGCTGTCTCACCTCATTCCATTCATTGCACCAGATGTCTCCCCAACTCTGTCACCTAAAACAAAAACAAACAGCCTGATGAAAAATAGTTGTAGTTGAAATTTTATTTTATTTTTTTAATTATTGCAGTAAGAGAAAGGGGGAAGGTGCAAGACCCATTAAAGTTTATAAATAGGGCATCAATTTCATGTGTTTTGGCATACACTACGCAGATAACTTACTATCTGGGAATAGGTACCTTCATCCTTGTGTTTTAAGGACGAGGCTTGAGTTTCTGTGGTTATCTATGTTGTGGAGCTATTTGCACATACCAAATGGCATGTTCATGGTTCTTTTAGGATCACTTCATTCTCTACTTCATGTTGGAGCTGTTTGCGCAAACCAAACAGCATGTTCATTGATGTAGTCGGTAGATGGTTCTCAGAATGGGCTAATGGTTGCATAGTCCTACCAGTTCTAGTAGATGGGTCAGACTGTTATAAATTTCTTCAGATTGTTTGGTCGGAGAAACTAATTCAATACACTTCAAGAGTACAAAATTCAATCAAATAAATACACATAGTATAAAAACTAATTCAGTCTTAGATTGTAACAAAAAGTTCTCATTCTGACTGAATAACCAATTCAGCCAGAAGGGATGGCTAATAAAACCAAACAGTAGTACCCTAGTTCCAGTACTGAAGTATGCTGGGAATGATTGATACTCCAGCAAACATTGTAAGATTGAGAAATTGGCTTGAAGGTGTTTAATTATAGGACTTTTAGTTATAAGTTTGACTTGGGCCTTAGGCCAGCTTTAAGGCTACTCTGAACAATGAACTACATTGCATACACAAGGCATGGAGTTGTTCTTATCCATTTTTCAGGATATGTTTAGAGGAGCAACCAAATATGAGTTTGTCATTATATGATAGAAAATAGGGATTTTTATTGATAAGTCCAATTTAGAAGTGTTTTAATTCAGGATATGTTTAGAGGAGCAACCAAATATGAGTTTGTCATTAAATCTCAAACCCCATTAAGCTTTAAGGACTCCTGATGCATATTTTGATAGCCCAGAGACCATCCTCAACTCAATGCACTTTTGTTTGCAAAAATGTGGGTACCTTCTGAAGCATCAGGAAACTGCTGAATGAAACTTTTCAAGTCTGGTCCTCCAACTTTGCCTATGCATAAAATAAAATGCAATCAATAATTGCAGTAATTAGAGTTATAACGCAACAAACAAATTTCTTTTAGTAAGCAGGTTACCAGTTCTGGTGGTGACTATGTGACTACTTCCTTCTTTGGCTCTCCTTTCCTCTTCTTCCTTCTTGAGAACTTCAAAACCAAGAGAATATTGGTTTAGGTCTTAATATAGAGCTTGGAATTTTGGCCAAAAAGTCAAATATGAAGGACCATGACAACAATTCTCCAAAAAAAATCTCAACTAAAAAAAAAAAATAATCTAGTAAGAACTTGTTTTGGCATTTCATGCATTGAATATTTTATAAAATAACTAAGTGTCAAAATTCTCCCCCATTAGAAGGTTACAACTTACAGGCATCATACTTCCATAAAGTCATTATTTACAGATTGCAGTTAGCTGAGAAAGCTCTTCTCTGAATTATGCACCCATTAGATATAAGGTAATGGAAAAGTAAGTAAAATCATTAGCTGGAGACTATCAAAAGCAACAAATCCTAAATGAGTTCCAAGGGATAGTTCTAGTAACACATACAAGCAACATTAAGTTTAACACGTTCACGCCTCGCCTCCAGCTCCATCATTTCCTGAGGATGGAAATGAAATCAACATACTTGCCATGTCAGAATTACAAGAAAAAGAAGAAAGATTACATTAAGATTGATGTCTACCTATTATTATTCGCCTATTTATAGGCTTACAATAATGTGCTAACCAAATGACCTATCCTAGAGTGGTGAGCAAGAAATTACAAATAAGGGAACAGAAAAAAAAAAAAAAAAAATTACACAAACAAACAGAGTGCAACTCTCCTTGTTTAAAAAAAAAAAGGAAACATAAGAAGTCTGCGAATATAAATTGACATTCCCTCTCAAACTTAAGTAGGTAGACCAACTTGACTTTCGAAAGAAAAACTAGAAAATAGAGAGAATTAAAAAATAGAGTGCCATGCAATGGAGATATGGCTGAGATGGTGATGTAGCAGCAAACACGAGACAGAGCTTTGACATTATTCTGATATAGTCTGAGGTAAAATCTGGTGTGAAGCCAAAGAGCGTGACGATGTGAGATCTAAGAAAACCCACAGCAGAGAGATCGCAGAGCCTGGGAAGCTGGTACAAATGTGTAGAGTCCAACAGAGCAGGACACACAAGTAGCAAAGTCTGACAAAGATAGACAAGAGATCCGTGGGTAGCCAACAAACTGCGACAACAATTGTGGTAAGGCCCTGGTAATTGGAGTGGGACTGGCAATTTTGATGGGCAGCCGACAAATAAGGCCACACATGAGAAAATTTACGAATATAAGTCTGGGAAATTATACCCATCCCCTTCAATTCCTATGATAATTGTTTAAAATTCATTTCCACCTTTAGTATTCTAAGTGTTGACCATTCAAAACTACATTTACGGTATGACTATGATTATTTCCCTCATTAAGCTCCAACAAAATAGACAAATGCAAGATGCATCCAACTCAATAACTAGAGAGGTTGGGAACACACACATGACTGGACTCACAAACTACAAGTACATAAATTACGCAAAATTTGAATATAGATCGCTACAATCCAAAATTTGACCACTACTTTCATCATAAGCAATAACACACGCACACAAGTACCTAGAGACAATTCTTCGAATTCCATCTAACATGAGAAATTCACAATATCATATTCATATCTTAGGCACTAACATTGTGGTAAAAACAAATTTTGTTCAATTGTACACATTTTGAGCTCTCACGCATGGATATTGGGGGATGGTTCAAGAATGACAGGAAAGCTAATGAGAAGTTGTTCCTATTTACCTCTAGTGTTGGAGCTTTTTTCCGCTGCCCGTTAAGCCAACATATCCATTCAACTACAATGATCAAGCAAGCATAACAAACAAGGATTAACAAAACAACAAAGATTTTTTCAAATGGTTAACCTACCACAAGGGCACTCTCATCATTTTTGAAAACCCACTTTCTGTAGGCTCTATTTGTTTTGTTGGAGAAAGCGGGAAAAAAATAGTTATCAAGAAATTTGCAAGATAAGATTGTCTGTTAGTTTAGAATTCAAAAAATCTATTGGAAAGATATCCAATTTAAGGAAAAATGTAGGGAAATAACTTTCGAAACTTTGACCAGGATGTTATTTTCTAGATCGAGGCAAAAGTTACATAAGGAAGATGAAAACAAGAGTCTCACCTCTCTCTCTATATATATGTACATACCCCTCACAACTTGAATTGTTTTAACTTATAGATTATGGGTGTGTCACAATGTAAACTGGAAATGTAAGAAAGTTGTGTTTATCAAAAAAGCTTACCTGGAATGGACGTTGGATCCTCCTCTCCTTTGAATACCACCCATCTTTTCTCTTTCACTGGTAATTTTAAGATCGCAATGAAATAAAGAATTATTGTAGTACACCTTAATATATATATATATATATTGTATCATCTGCTAACAATAATAAAATTAATCTACAATTGTTTCGTAGTACGTCACATGGACTTTATCATAAAACAGATTATAATCATTTGCATCAAATTTTAATGTTCACAAAGGGAAAGGATTTAATTTCTGATTTGCTCCACTCGATGCGGTGAAGCATGTCACACGAGATTAACATGATTTTGTCAATAATACTGTTGATTTTAAAAAGAATAAAGCTTCCGGACCCCCAGTGGGAGTGCTGGGGGTCGTGCGTGTCGCCCACTGATTGGCCAAAAAAAAAACTGCTTTTTTTTTTTTTTTTTTGTGTTTCAGCGAATGGCGCAGCGCCACGTCACTGGGGGTCTGAAGCACGGCTCTTTTAAAAATACCCAAAATATAGAACACACACACCCAAAATAATAATAATAATAATAATAATAAATAAACAAATTGAAATTCTATTAATAATCCAAAAACTTTCATTAGGTGTGGCTTGCAAACCTTATTCATAGTACAAAAAGTCATAATTCGAATAGGAAACAACAAACTAGGCTAATTCCCCTAGAAACTGAAAATTACCAAAACAAAAAATAAATTTGAGGCTCAAATTTGGAAACTACAAAGTATTAGAAAAATGTCATAACTAACAGCAAAAAAATGAAACACCTAAATAAAGCTGTAACAGAAACAAAAAATTCTAAATATGGTGAAAACCCGAAATTGAAAGCTTGAACAATGGAATTTGGCCAAAAACCGCACTTTCAGATCTAACATGGGCTTTTCTAAGCAAATCTAAAACCTATCTGCATCATCCCCACCACACAAAAGAGGGGGGGGGGGAAAACAGTCATGATTACTGACTTCACCTATTATACAAATTACAAATATGTAAAACCTCTACAATGCATCCAATGATTGCAAATTTAATTTTGTAAATAAAACTAGCAAATTGGCCATCTAAAGCACAACCAATCAAAGAAACATTCCCCTGGAAACTGGAACTATACTATAGGCATGAAGAGACACGAAAACCATATTGTCCCCAGCAAATGTATGACTCAAAATTCAATTCTACAAAACAGTAACAATGTAGCACTAACCAAATTCGAAACAAACGAAAGCTACAAAATTTAATGCCTCAGAATCAATAGTTTCCCCCAAATTTTCTGAACTCAAAACAAACGAATCAATGAATGGGTTTTGCAAGAATAGAAAGAAAGCGAGAAAAGGAGAGAGAGAGAGAGGGAGAGAGAGAGACCCACTTACTGAAACCATCGATTGCGTCTTTTCTGGTGAAGTATCGATTCCCTGCTTTGTCCATTCCCGCCAATGATCGATTGCGGAACAACCCTGCAATCTTCGTCCACAGCTTCGACATGTCTTCTCACCTCCTCTCTCTCTCTCTCTCTCTCTATATATATATATATATATTCAAATTGGACTTGTCTTCTTCATCATAGAACTACAATCAGAAGATCTGAAAAAAGCTCTCCATGATTCGGAAAATCCGAAAACCGTTTACATTTGGAGAAGTAGCAAAGTGAGGGCATTTTTTGTGTCATTAATAGTTGGGCCGGACGGTCACATTCCGGTTCGGTTCTATCTAAACAAAATTTAGTAATGTCAAAAAAAAAAAAAAAAGAGAGAAAAATTTTCACTTCATGTATCATTTTAGAAAGTAATTATAAATTAGTGATAAATTTTGGGGAGATTTATTTATAAGTCTTTTTTCAGACACTTATGTTAAGTTAAGTCTTGTGTAATTTCTTATAGAGTCTCAAGTCCTGTTTAAATAGGAATGTATTCCACAAAATCCTACATAAACGTAAGGCGACGTGACACTTACATAAACGTAACGTAACGTGACACCTATATAAACGTAACTTAACGTGACACCTACACAAACGTAACGTGACACCTATACGTAACGTGACACCTACATAAACGTAACATAACGTGTCACGTTACGTTTCACAAACTTAATGAGTTTTTATTTTTTTAAATTGAATATGAAAATGTTGTTGGTTTATATTGGTGTCACGTTACGTTTCATATAGGTGTCACGTTACGTTTATGTAGATGTCACGTTACGTTATGTTTACGTAAATATGATCTATGACAACATTCAATTTTCTATATATGGTTTTATTATTATTTATGATATTAACAACTAATATTGAGGGTAAATATGTCAATAAACTTACCACAGAACTTATGGGAATATAAGTTTTTTAGTAGGACCATATGCAGCATAAGTCTCCCTAAGAGGACTTATAAATAATTTTCCTTAAATTGTATAATTGATAATTAAAAATATGAATTTTATCATGAATTAATAATAAGTTTTGGTTAATAAAGCCGGTCAAAATCAATAAATTGCTCTGATTATAATTCTGGTTATAATTTAAAAAATAATTAATTACAATTTGATTCACTAATTACAACTCAAAATATTTAAAGAAAATGAACGGAACTAATAAATAAAAAAAAAAGCTTTATATATATGTCATATATAGAAAAAATTAAGTTAATTTAATAATTATTATTATTTTATTTTGTTTTATGGCATTTATTTTTTAAAAAATGAATCACTAAGGTGACAAGTGTGTTTATAAAATATAACTTTTTTTTGAAAAGACAAATCTAATAAAATGGAAGGAGACGGTTGTTAAGGGTGTGTTTGGTAACGTTTACGTTTTCGGTTTATAGTTATAAAAATTTTATAAATTGATTTTTGTTTATTTTTAAAAAAACATAAACTACAAACGCGTTTAGTAATTGACAAAATGTTTAAAAAAAATTAAACATATAAAAAAGAGTGAGAAATGGCAAGTGACGGCGGAAGACGGCGGTGGAAAGTGCTGACGGTGGGTGGTGGGTAGCTAGTGGTGGTGGGTGGGTGGGTGACGGTGGTGGGTGGTAGCGAGTGGGCGGTGGTGGGTGGTGGTGGCAGGTGGGTAGCGGGTGAGTGGTGGGTGATGGTGGTGGTGATGGTGGTGGTAGTGGTGGTGGTGGATGGTGGTGGCAGGTGGCTGGTGACAGGTGGGTGTTGAGTGGTGGTGGCGGGCGGTGGATGGTAGTGGCGAGTGGATTGCAGGTGGGTGGTGGTGGTGGTAGTGGTGGCGAGGGGTAGGTGGTGGTGACGAGTGGGTGGTGGGTGGTGGTGGCGGGTGGTGGGTGGTGGTGTGGGTGAGTGGGTGACGGTGGCGAGTGGTAGTGGTAGCTAGTGGGTGAGTGGTGGTAGTGTTGGTGAGGGTGGTAGGTGGTGGCGGCAAGGTGGGTGATGGAAGGCGAGGCGGATGCGAGTAAGATGGTGGGGTGGTGCAAGTAGGTAGCTTTGGGTGGTGGTGGTGGTGGTGGGTGAGTGAGTGGGTGACGGTGGCGGGCTAGTAGGTGGTAGCGAGTGGGTGGTGGTGGGTAGGTGGGTGGTGGGTGGTGGTGGCAGGTGGGTGGCGAGTGGGTGGTGGTGGTAGTGGTGGTGGTGGTTTAGGCGTTGAAGTGGTGGCTGGTGGTGGCAGGTGGTTGGATGGTGGTGGCAGGTGAGCTGGTGAGTGGATGGTTGGCAAGTAGGTGGCGGGGTGGTTAAGTGGCGGGTGGTGGGTTTGTGACGGGTGGCGGCAAGTGGGTGGTGGTAGCGGCGGCGCGCGGTGTGGTGGTGGTGATGGCGGCAGGCGAGAGGTGGGCTGGCTGGTGGCGAGTGAGCTGGGTGGTGTGGCAGGTGGTGGGTGGGGGTGGGTGGTGTGGCGGAAGACCGGTGGTTAAGAAAATGGTGCGGGTGGTGTCTAGTGTTTGAGTGGAAAAAAATATAAAAAAAATCAAAACTCAAAACAAAAACACATTTTTTGTATTTTCATTTTTTGGCCAAATTTATAAACTGAGACCACTGATTTATAAATCAAAAATTTTACCAAATAAGTTTTTATTTAAGTTTTTAAAATTTTTGTAAATATAAATAGAAAACTGAAAACGTAAGTGTTACCAAACGGTACCTAAATTAACTTAATTTATTCATAAAAAACATTTATGAATATCTTACAAATTGAACAATTTTACTAATTATTGAAATAAAACTCATGGTGAACTTCATGAATCCATTCACGAACCTGAACATGATTAGATTTAAGGGGATTTTTTTTAGAGTTCCTGATATTAAAATTTTGTAACATAAAGGATATCAAATATTGTCATAATATTTAAGGTCCCTCAATATCGATCCAGAGAAAATCCGATCCAGAGAATTTCTCTGGACTTTCCAGAAAAAATTCGATCAAAAGAATTTCTCTACAAAAATTCTAGGAAGGTCGGAGAATTTCTCTAGATTGCAGTCTAGATATTTTCTCAAGATTCCAGAGAATTTCTCTGGTTTTGCCAATAATTTCTTTGGGTTCAAACCAAAGAAAATTAAACATGCAAGATAAAATTACACATGGCAGAGAAAATTAAACATGGCAAAGAAAATTACAAATGACAGAGAAAATTAAGCATGTCAAAGAAAATTACACACACGAGAGTGTTAAGTGGCAGTTCTCTCTTTTCTTCCAACTTCATTTCTCATCTTTCCCAAACTTTCCGTTTTGACTCAACCATAGAAAATTAATAAAAAAGCCAACATAAAGCGATTTCAACACATAGAAAATTGTGTTGCACTAGTACTATAACTCTTGTTTGTTATAGTGATTCGTCAAAAATCAAAATTGTTGCTGAAATCAATGACTCACTTTGAACAAACTTCACATAAATCTATGGCATTGAACCACAAAATTAGTCCACTGGAATAGTCAAATTGAATATAATAACAAATTCATATAAACAAATATATATATATATATATAACTTTAGTTGAGATAATAACCAGAGTGTATATATATATTGTCACGACCCAAACCTGCCCTTATAAGTTGGCGTCGTAACCGGCCAGTAATTCAAGATTACCTAAGGCCTTCCTGTATAATAAAAAATAATCGAAGCTAGTGGAAGCAAAATACAAACATACCAATGGTCCAATGAATTATGCATCTATATGAACAAATATGTACATACATAATTGTTAATTTACCCACAAACATATACATATCTTATAACATAATCACTTATACAAAACATGTGCATGCATCGAAAATGTACATTATAATCAAAAGCTTGACAACGGCCTTCCAGGCCTAGCCTCAACTCAGAGGCACTCAAAACAACTCAGTAGACTTCAAAACAATGGCTCGGCTAAAGAACCCTTCTAAACTTGTCCTCTAGAACGCTCACCTATACATATAAAAACAGTGAGCTAAGATCTAGTGAATAACATTAAAGTAAAGGGGTTAGTGAACGAATTCCAAATATATCATATCCGTAAAACAAATCATGACACAATCTGTAACAACCCTGGCCCAAGATTAACAATAATTCGTGATTTAATGTGCCTATTAAGATATTAAGACCAGATTTTGAATTAATTACATATATGGTGCATTATTTATGTTTCCATCTGTTTATTGTAGGAATATTTATTTGAGTTTCTGCTATATTCTGCGAATTGAAGACCCTATCGGCATCTGACTCAAAAATTGATTTGATTTATGTGCTATTTGGAATTTATAGAATTTTATGGTAGGTTTAATTAAAAGTCGATTTGGAACGATTAAATTAGATTAAATTAATGCCTATTTATTTTAACTTCAATTAACTATACTTTAACCAAGCCTATATTAGGCACCAAATGAGCCCCACTCATCTCTTTCCTTTCATTTGAGTACATTTGAGCCTCTTCAAGGAAGAAAAACGTGAGAAAGAGGGAGAGTAGGGAGAAATTGAGGTCAAACAAAGAATTGGCTAGGAAATTGAAGGAGAATTGGAGAATTGAGCTAGGATTCACCAAGAGCCCAAAGAATTGAAGACTTTAGGTAAGAAAACAAACCTTTGGTCTTGAAGTTGAGTTGATTCACCCATGAATTTAAATGAATTGAGCTAGGAAATGTGTGAACCAAGCTTAAGAAGTAGGAAGGGAGACCAATTCAAACATGCATGTACATTTCATCACATTTGGAGCATGTTTACTAAGAATTTTCTCATGCATGTCTTGACTTCACCTTGATTTTGTGAAATCATCAAGTTTCATGATGTTTTGTAGCATTTGATCATGTGTTTGAGAAGTTGAAGTTTAAGGAAATTCATGTATGTTATGTTCATATAACATTCATAAAGTTTAAGTTGAATTTTTGATCAATTGGCATGCTTTTGGGCCTTGATTTCAAGAAATAATCTTCAACGCATGATGTTTTGTAAATCTTTAAGTGTTTTCCAGAATTTTGGCCCAAGAGGATGAGTTTTGGAGTGTTTGGTTTGAGCTTGAAGCTTGAAGATCAAATCTGAAAATTCCAAAATATGAATCCACGCTCGAGCGTAGGAGTTCACGCTCGAGCAAAAAACTCTGAATACGTGCACTTTCGCTCGAGTGACATGATACCTGCTCGAGCGTGAAATGCATGTATCCAGAAGTTCATATGTTTGCAGCATGCTCGAGCGACGAAAGTCACGCTCGAGCGAAAGTTTGAGCCTCACGCTTAAGCGTGAATCGAGCGTGAAAAGTAAGCAACTAGTACTTTTTCCGAGTTTGCAGTCCGCTCGAGCGAGGAAAGTCACGCTCGAGCGAACCGTTACTTTTGGCATGTCCATTCGAACGAGGAAAGACACGCTCAAGCGTGGCCCTTGTTTTCAGCAAAATTTGAAAATTGTTTTCAAGTGCATTATTGCATCCTTAATCCATCATAGACATTCTAGGCCATGTTTAAGACACTATAATAAGGATAAAAGGCTAGAAACACACTTAAGACAAGAACGTGTGTTATGTGCAATTCGAGCGTGTGTTTCAATGTATGTCACTATCATGTTATGGAGGTCACGCACCTCAGGATAAGTGAGTTGCCTACTCTACTTGTTTACTTGGAACCATCTGTTAACTATGAGTAATAACTCTGTAAAGCTATGCTTAATTACATGTATTTTCTGACTGATATGATACGATCAGTTTCTGAAATGCTATTTTATGAATTATGAATGACTGTTCATTTTCTGAAATGTATCTGTGGTATCCTTAGCTCACGTGGCCCTCGCCCGAGGGTAATAATACTGTGGCCAATATGCACGTGGCCCTTGCCCAGGGGTAACAATACTGTGGTTTATATTCACATGGCCCTTGCCCAGGGGTAACAATACTGAGGCCTATATTCACGTGCCCCTTGCTTGAAGGTAACAATACCTTGGCTACTTGCGCGCAAGATATGGACCTTTATGGTCGTCGGTACCGATTATACATGTGGGTCTCAGAACCAAGTGATACCATAGCTAATGGGTGTACCACGTGTGATCTTATGCAAAATCTGAATATGAATGCGAATATGAATATGTATCTGAATCTATTTCTGATTTGAAATCTGAATATGCATGAGACTCTGTTTTCGATAAGAATATATTTTTGATATAAGCTCTGACTTCTAATTCTATGCTGGACATCATTCATTAAAACACTTTACCTAGTTATTATTCAGTGGGCTCTAACTCACTGTATTATTTGTATGTATATAGGTGACCAGGCACGTGACTAGGCCTGAGGTGCTGCCTAGCGAGTTTTGATGTCAACCAGCTATCATGCCTCCCATGGAGGTTCCCTTTTGAGATCTACCCAAGTTTTTGTGTCATTGGGACTTTTGTACTTTCTAAATGTTTGTGTCTGGTCTGAACACATTTGAAAGCTAGTGTAGGTAGCTTGGGTGATGTAAGGCTACTGTATTTTTGTTGCCACATCTGTGTGTATGTATATATATGTATATGAAAAGTTTAAATTTTATGTCTCATGTATATCTGCACAGCTCTATGGACTATGTAAGTTTGTATATTTGCTCCCTTAGCCTCTGTTATATATATTATTCTGTTCAGAGGCCTTCGGTAATCCATGGATTACTGGCCAGTTACGATGCTAAACCCATAGGGGCAGGTTTGAGTCGTGACACAATCATTCCTATCAGTCTCATATCATAACATAACATAATGGTACATCCCACAGACCATATCACTTATCGTCTTTCGACTAGAGTAATCGGTTCCGGATACTGATTAAACACATATCATCACAATTAAGTGGCTAATGAGATCTTGTATCACATAAATGTCATGGACTCGCATTTACATGTCGTCTCCCATGACTTGGGACTATTTGTAGATGTCATAATATATTCGTAAATAGGACATTCGTTCACATGATCAAAATAACATTTTAGAAGTTATAACTTATCAATAACAGGTAAAATATGAGTCAAATCAATATATCTTTACAAAAATGTTACTTACAGTGGGCTTCCAAAACCGGTGATTCAGTCTTCGAGTCTTGACCTAGGGCTTTTATAGTTACTTAATCTTGCATAATCTTGTTGAATACAAGCTTAGTCTTGAGCCTCTCCTTCAAATTCTACACATTCCTCTTGGTTTTCCTTTTTCTCTAGAACTCTCTCTCTTTCACTCTTTCTCCAGATTTTTCTTCTTTTTTGTTGACTCAAATGAGCTCACATCTCATATATACACAAATATCTATTTCTAAACTTAATCAAGTAGTGAGAGCCAAACATGACTTAGTGAATCAAACGAAATCAATTTTTAATTAAACTTCCCAAACGGCTCTAAAAATTCCCATTAGCATATCCAAGTACTCAATTTCGGTTTCTAAACCCATAAGGTTGTCAATTTCAGTTCCGAAGTCATAGCCTCAAAAGATATTATTCAAATTTAGACAGATATTCTCAAATTAATTCATATTAACGCATAATTAAATAAAGATAATTGTGATGCGTATTTTGGGGCCGTTACATATATATAGAAAGAGAACTGACCAACAAGGTTGCTATAAACATAAGAGCTAAGGTTTTCCATTGCATGACTCACACTAGTTGGAGCAGCCAAATACATTACATAGGTAAAAGCAACTATCTTAAAAAGCTGGTTCAAAAGAGCTATGTCATTGATATCTCCTTCAACAATGAGCATACTAGTGTGTTCGAGTTGAGCTTGTCGAGCTCGTTTCAATGAAGGTCGTAGTAATCATTGAAGTTGTTGAGTCCGAGAACGTCATCGCCATGGCGTTTTAGGGCAGTGAAGACATGGGTTTTGACAAAATCAACGGTGCTTGTAAACAGTATGGCAATTACTAAGTACACTGACTCAAACACCTCGCGAATTTTCATCGGAGTCACCATTGACAGAGATCAAAAGATAAATAGAGAAGAGATGAGAGAGAATGAGAGAGTGGGTGTAATATATAGGCGTAGGTGAGATACATACTCATAAATAAGTGAGAGACGTTAAGTTACAAAAATAAATAAATATATATATGTATATATATATATATTATGAACCTCTTTTATTACTAAAAGTTGGAGAGGGATGTTAGATTAAATCCCTATTTTTCAACATATCTACTAAATTAAAAAATTTCTTTTTTATTACAAATATTCAACATTTGGGGTAACATTGATGGTCGTTTTTTATTTTTTACTTTAATTTTTGTTTATATTTAAATTAAAAATTTTAGCAAAAACTTCCTTCCATATGAAACTATTCAACCATAAACTTCCATTTGACTAAAAATTTATGTAAAAAATTTTGAAAATTTGAAAATGTTTTGAGTGATTTTTGCTCAAATTTAAATTTGAGTCGGTGTTTAAGTTAATATTGTAAATCATCTTAATAAGTATCGTTAAGATATTAATTTCAAATTTCAGAATAATTTGTCTATTTAAAAAAATAAAAAAAATTACTTAAAATTTTAAAAATATTTATTAAAAAAAAAACTCTTTCTAAAAAATTAAATTTAAAAAATTGAAATTAAACACGGTGAATAAGAATTAGCGTTTGGTAGAGTTTTGTAAATGTGATTTGAGAGTATGAGTTGTATTTTGAGTTTGTGTGCTGTGGAATTATGATTTGAGTGTAGAAAATTTGTTTGGTAAAGAGTTTTGAAAATAGTTTTGAAAAGAGTTTTGATTTGAGTGGGGAATTGTTGATATGACATTTGAAATTCGATACAAAAATTTACAACTCATACAACTCAAAATTATTTTAAAGCACATAAAAAATTTTAAAAATTTCAGAAAATATTTTTTTTTGATTATATATCAATTGCAAAAAAAAAATTGTAAAAAAAAAAAAAATCACTATTCCGGTCAACCGGGCGGACAGAGCGTTCCGCAGAGCTGTGAAAAATTAATTCCACAACTCCATCCAAACACCATACTCAAACTACCACGTTGAATCACAATTTAAAATCACAACCAATCACAAATTTTTCTTAAATTTTGTTAAAAATAAAAATCAAATTAAACCGGCATAACCCTGACCCTAACCCTAACCGTATTTGGCCGGCGACGATTCAAGATCGCCTCTCAACTCAAACCAAACCTCCGTTAAACCCTCTCAATGCCCAACTCTCAAATTTCGAGTTCATCCACCATTTCTCTCTCTTTTCCCACAATTTGATCTCCACACAAACCAGTCAAAAACCATGTCTTGCTCTAATTTATCAATGTGGGTCTCCTCAAACCCTTCGACTCATCATCATCTATCTTCACTGTCTTCACAATCTCAACCGAACCCATTTCGCCTACTTCACTGTATATCATCCCCAGATAGTCTCACAGCCCCTTCAATTCGCTGCGGTCTCCGAGAACTTCGAGAACGAATCGATACTGTGAAAAACACCCAGAAAATCACCGAAGCCATGAAGCTAGTCTCCGCCGCGAAGGTCCGGCGAGCCCAAGAAGCTGTCATCAATAGCCGACCTTTTTCCGAAACCCTAGTTGAATTCTTGTATAGCATCAACGAACAGCTTCAATTAGAAGATGTAGATGTTCCTTTAACAAATGTTCGACCTGTCAAGAAAGTTGCCCTTGTTGTTGTCACTGGCGATCGGGGTCTCTGTGGCGGTTTCAACGCTGCAATTCTCAAAAAAGCCGAGACCCGGATCACTGAATTGAAGGAAATTGGGTTAGATTACACTGTAATTAGTGTTGGGAAAAAGGGTAATTCGTATTTTCGTCGTAGGCCTAATGTTCATGTAGATTGGTTCATTGAAGGGGGTAGTTTTCCCACGGCAAAAGAGGCTCAGCTGATAGCTGACGATGTTTTTTCGCTATTTGTGAGCGAAGAGGTCGATAAAGTTGAGCTTTTGTATACCAAATTTGTGTCTTTGATTAAGTCTGATCCGGTAATCCATACATTGCTTCCATTGTCAGCCAAGGGAGAGGTTTGTGATGTGAATGGGATTTGTGTTGATGCAAGTGACGATGAGTTCTTTAGGTTGACAACTAAAGAAGGGAAATTGATTGTGGAGAGGGATAGTTTGAGGTCTAAGAAAGATGAATTTTCACCTAATTTGCAGTTTGAACAAGACCCAGTTCAGATTCTTGATGCAATGATGCCTCTATATTTGAATAGTCAGATCCTGAGAGCATTGCAAGAATCGTTGGCGAGTGAGCTAGCAGCAAGGATGGGTGCAATGAGTAATGCAACAGACAATGCTGTCGAGTTGAAGAAGACCCTTTCCATTGCTTACAATAGGGAACGACAGGCAAAAATCACCAATGAGATATTGGAAATTGTTGCTGGAACCGAAGCACTTCGATAGTTTCCAATGGTTTTGGCTCGGTTTGATTGTTCTTTCTCTCTTTGTTTATTATACTGGCCCTTTTTTTAATTCATTCAACATGCTTGCTTGAAAAAACACCATGTTGAATTGGAACTGCGACTTATGTAATCTAGGTTACTAGACTAGAGTTAGGACTACATTTTGATTTAAAATGAAAATATTTGTTCCGTGCTTCTGGTTTTGTTCTTAATGTATGATCAACATTGCTCTGATCCATTACTGAGTTATTATTTACCTTTTTCCATTTGTTATTGGGATCAAAGCGGCTTTGAATTCACATATATGCCCGCTCATGCAAAGAATTTGCATTCCATTGCGTTTATGCATCCAAACTTTCTGTGAGGTGATTCTTAGTTTTGCAGCTCAAATAATTAGGCTCATCTTACCAAGTTGAAGCTTCCTGCTGTTAGAAAATAGTCAAAGTTTAATGATTTGGAATACCAAAAGTTTGGTTTGGAGTATTAGGCCAGTTGAACCTGTTAGAAGTAAAGTAATGTTGATTTTAAGAGTAAATTGAGAGTTAAATTCTCTTAGCAGTCACTAGGGATTGCAGTTTGTGGTGCTCCATTTTGGAAAGCTATCTCTATTTCAAAAGGCAATAATACTTTATATATGCAGATAGAGTAGTAGATCCGACTTTGGTTCAAAATTATGGCAGGATTAAAGACATCACCAAAGACTCTTAGCTTCATTTTGTCATATGAAACCTTGGCAGTTGAATGGGTTTGATGACCGCAAAAGAGTAGCTTTAAGCCTTTACTTGGTAACCATGATTTGTTCTGTATTTGCCAGTGTTGTCCCTCATAATGGCTTATGTGAAGGCATTGTGAAGACTAATCGCCTGAGAACTCATGCTGGCAGAACTCAGCAGGGCCGAGCAAAATTCAGAGAATGTATACAGAGCCTTGCCAGCTAGCACAATTGGGTTTTGTTATAGGAGTTGAACTAGCAAGAGTAGCAGGATAGACAAGCAATTTTGGACTGTTACTGAATGGAATATTTCAGACCTAGATTCTCAATTATTTCGTATGATAAGAAGCTTCTGGGAAATGAACGGCACCAACAAAACCATTTATTGATTTGTCCATTTTCATCTTGTACCCTATGATGTTTACCAATCCATGGCTGTAAGTTTGGTACTGGCAAATTTGGCTAATTTATATGATGATTCAATTACTTGCACTGTTATTCATATAAACTTTGTTGATGTTGTTGAAGAAATTATTTATAATCGGTATTTCTGATATGTTCTGAGTTTCTTGGCCTTTTGGACCTTTTCCTAGCTTTATGTTGTGATTCTTTTGGTTGGATTTTTATTTTTTGTATTCTCATGTGCCATCCCCTTTCCAATCAACTCTAAGCTCAACATTGAATGTTGGCTTTTACTTGTTGCTTAGTAAATAACATCACTTTTGATGCATGCAGGTAAGGTTCCTCTTGCCGCAAATGAAAAGTTTTATATAAGGAAAATTGCTGGTATGCAGTTAATTTGCATTGCTCTTGTTGGAAAATTTTGTGATAATCTTCTGGTTCTCACTTCGCGCTAGCTTTCAAAACTACACTAAACTAAACTTAAGATTGTCTGGGATTTAGTCACATATCTTTAGTAGTTTTTAACTATTAGTAGCTCCAATATCTTCTCATCATTTATCAAACAATACTTTCTGTTCATATGCTGAGATTGTGACTGTCAATCGGTCTATGTGGTTCAGTGAGGTTGGTTGAATAGCTCCTTTTTTCTTTTCTTTTTTTGGACTTTTTATTATTTAGTTCCAAAAATACAAAAAACCAAAAATAAGAACCACAACCAAAGAGGCCTTTGAAAGAAAATAAAAATGAAAAAAGATGAGAAGGGTTCTTTAATGAAACATAAGGGTAGTTTTTCATGTGCATTCATCTTGTATATGATGCCAAGACTCCAATAATATAGCATGCCAATGTAACAATCATAAAGGTGGATTGCCTCATCAACAGTACAAGAGCCCTTGTTTTTGTCATTTTTTTTCTTGCTGGAAGGAAAATGACATTACGACACTTATGAATTGAGTCACATGTAAACCATTTTCTTGATGAAATATGTACACACACACTAGAGGTGTAGGCACATAATACCTGTGTTAATTAGTTAGATTTGAATGGGAATTTTGGCAATTAAATAAGGTCAATGTTAGAAATAAATTTTTTTTGGGCCAAAATTTCATATTTTGAATTGGGTGTGAACGTAATGCATTTGTATTTTTTATTTAACTTTTTACAATTTTAAATAATTTGATTGATGAAAAAATACAATTATTGAATGTGATTAACAGTTACCTAGTAAGGACAAAATTCTTTAAAAAAATACAAAAATAAAAAATAAAAAAAGTGACCAGCCTCTGGTTTTGATGAGCCGCTGGTATTACTTTCTGATGTACCAAAAAAAAAGAAGAGCCGCTGGTAATTCATAGTTGCCTACGAAGGAATTCATGTGCTGTTTGTTTTTAGGAAAATGTTTGGTGGTTTAAAAATTTGTGGTTTAAATGGTTTAAATCTGTCAAAATGATGTCATTTTATTGTTAAAACGACATCATTTTAAGTGATTTGAGGCATTTGAGCCACAAAATTTTAAACTACCTAACATTATTGTTGTTTTTATTGTGTATTTATTTATTTTGGTGTGTTTAGCCATGGTGTAAATGATATCTCTTTTATTTTTATTTTTAGTTTTTTTTCCACTACAAGATGTCAGATAAATTTATCATCATCACGGAAGAGATAGAGAACCAAATTCACTACAACCCTGTTTGGGAAGGGTTATTTCAGTTAAAACAGTCAATAAAAATTAAATAAATTAAAATAATGGATAAATTACAAACACATCTTCTGTGGTTTAGTTAAATTATAAATTGCCTTATGTGGTTTTAGAAATCACATTATGCCCTCTAAGATTTTTAATTTCGTAACAAATAGGTCATTTTATAGATAAATTATCAAGTTAATTAACCGTTTTTAATAATGTTAAAATTTTATTACAATTAGCAATTCAGATAATTTTATTATTATATAGGTGAACAGTTAAAAATTTCACTTTTTTAATTAATTCTGTTAAATAAAAAATTCTAACAATGAAGTATTTATAATTTTTCAAATCACAGGGGATAATTTATATTTTAAGCAAACCTCAGAGAGTGTATTTATAATTTATCTTAAAATAATTAATAAGATAAAATATCACATCCCACTCGTAATTATTTTATTTTTTCTTTCACAACTACATTAATTTGACAATACGTTTGGCAAGACTATTAGAAATGAATTATTATTTTTTTATTTCAAATTCTTGTCCAATTTTGGGTTTGACAAGAATTAAAATCCCAAAATTAAGTGAAGGCTAGGGTCTCATTTGGCATTCGCTTGTTTTAATCTAAAAATTAAAAAGTTATTAAAAAATTTAAAAAACTTATAACTTATATCAAAAAGTCAAAAATTCTCTTTTCTCTTTATTTTTTACATATATTTTCGTAAAAAGTTAAAAAGTTATCCTAACTAATTTTTTTTTACTTCATATTTTAATCAAAAAATTAAAAAGTTAATAAAAAAATATGTTATTAGACGAGGCCTAAATATCTGTTTAGTAGCAACCAAACAAATCATTTTTTTCAAGCTTTTTTAAAATTTTTGATTTTTTTTTTAAAAATTTGTATCAAAAGTTTTTGCTTTTCAGAGTCATTTAATTTAAAATGATCTAAAAAGTAAATTTATGTTTTTTTTTTAAAATTATTTTATTTAATTATTTTTTTTTACACCCATCTAATTCTATCTGTAAAAAGAATAATACTTGAGGGCTCGAAATTTCGAGGCTCGATTGTCCCGAAATTCAAAACGACATCAAATATATATATATATATATATATATATATTTTTCTCCTCTCTTTCTTCTCGCTAAAATGGCGAAGAGAGAAAAGGGAAGAGGGAAAAGAGAAGAAAGAGAGAAGAGGGAGGAAGAGAGGCGATGGGCTGGAGGGAGAAAGACGGAGACGATGGGCGATGACGGAGACGATGGGCTGGAGGGACGATGGGCTGAGTAGATCTGTATATACACAGATCTGTGTGTATGTATACACAGATCTCTGTTTCTTCCTCCTCTCCTTCTTGCTTTGTTTTCTTCTTATTTCTTCCTCCGCTCTTCTCCTTCTTTCTCTGTTTTTTACTTTGATTTTAGATTTTGATTTTGATTTGTGTATATTTGGAATACCTGTATAGATTTGGATTTTTTATTTATTTTTTATTTTTTGATTTTGATTTTGATTTTGATTTTGTTTTTGATTTTGGATCTTAATTTTGGATTGTGGAATTCAGTTTGAGAGAAAGAGAGAGGAAACTACATAGGAAGGTAAGGAAAAAAAAGAAGAAATAAAATAAAAATTGAGCCATTCGAGTTTAGATATTTCGGATTTCGTAGCACAACTGTTTAAAAAAAAAAAAAAAAAGACAAAAAATATTAGTAAAAAAAATAATTGAGGACGTAAAAAAATGAGCACAGAATGGCAACATGGAATTAGAGAGGGAAGCCAATTGTGGGGACCCACATGAGAGCCGCCGCTGTAATATGATTGCAAACTGGGTGCTTATATTCCAAAGCCAAAGCCAAGGAAAACGAATCTCTATCTCCATCAACTTTGATGAGGCGATGAACCTGGGCCATCTTCTTCTATTTGAGAAATTCTTGGAAGATTACCTTAACACTCTCTCTCTCTCTCTCGACATTCTCATGAATTTTTAGTCAACGTACATTAATTTTAGTATTTTTAGTCAACGTACATTAATTAGTCATTTTAAAAAAAACGTGTGAAGAATATAAGAGATGATGGGTTTGTTTGGTTTGTTTTTAGAAGAGTTGTTTTTCAAAAAAAAAAAATTTAAAATTTTGTTTTCTTTGTGATTTTTCTTAAAAAAATTTCAAAATCATTTTCTCTCTTTTACACATTAATTAATCACTTTTTTTTTATTCTATCTTATTCTTAATCATTTTTTCTCTCACACACATTTACTCAATTACAACAAAAGGTTGTTTTAAGAAGTTGGTAGAAAGCTGACTTTTGACTTTTTACCAAGCTTTTTGACTTTTTTAGAAGTGATTTGGGAAGTTGGTAAAAAGCTGACTTTTTGATTTTTAGTTTATTATTTATTTATGGTGTCAAATCCAATTAAAATGACCAAAATACCCTTACCCAACATAAGAGATTTAGGCCAAGTTTGGCAACACCAAAATAATCCATCTTTTTATCTTTTTTCTATCACATCACCTCTCTACTTTTCTGCACATCTTTTCGTAAAAAGACAAAAAGTACATTTATTTAAGTCATCCCAAACAACCCCTTATTTTTTTTTATTTTTTTTCATAGGCCCTAATTTGTAATTTTAGGGCTGCGTTTTTGGCACTTCCCAAAGGGATTTTGTTGCGTTTTTGGCAGCCACGTTTTTGGACATTTTGTCAAAAAACGTGACTTTTTACTATGTTCCCAAAATGGCACAAAATATTAAATCATTCCAAACTCTCAAATACCAAAATTACTTTCAAAATATATAACTAAACAAATCAAAAAAAATTATAAACTCTCTCCTCAAAATTTTTTTTTTAAATCACTCTCTCAGCCCTTCGTTTAGCAACTTGGGTTGGGTTAGATTGAGTTAGGTTTGGGGCTATTTTAGGCACAAAAAGACAAAATAGGTTTTTTAGCCAAATAAACAAAATGTTACCTCCAATCCATAATCCCTACATTCTTTCTCTCACAAAAAGTCAAAAAAATCAAAAAATCCTTTCAAAACGAAACTTTTTAGCCCCGTGCTAAAATAGCTAAAAAGCCAACTCACTTCCCAAAGGAACTCTCAAAAGCAAACCAAACACACTAGATATCAGTCAAAATTAATTAAAAGTTAGAAGATGATTTTTAACCATCTTTTCAAAATAATCCTTAATAATGCTACAATCTCATAAATTATACTTTAAATTTTATGTAGAAATAACTTTTTTGTGATTTAAGTCTCATTTGGAAACATGTTATTTTAGTAATTTTTTTATTTTTTACGAAAAAATATGCAAAAAAGTAGAGAGAGTGATGTGATAACTTATAGTGACTTTTTAACTTTTTGACTAAAGCTGAAGGTTGTCAAACGAGACCTTAAATTCATTTCATATTAAAATTTATATTACATTAGTCTCGTTTGAGAAGTTAGCTATTTTAATAGGTTATTTTTGTTTTTGGT